TTAGTAGAGACGGGGTTTCACCGTGTTGACCAGGATGGTCTCGATCTCTTGACCTCGTGATCCACCCACCTCGGCCTCCCAAAGTGCTGGGATTACAGGCTTGAGCCACCGCGCCCGGCGATTTAAACATTTTTTAAGTCTGTAAAGTGTTGACTGCAAACCAGTGTAGTACAAATGTATACAGAAGTGTTGGATTGTAAAGGAGTGATCAGAGGGGAGGCTGACTGATGAAACTCTTCAGGTGAGTTAAAAATAATAATTACTAGACCCTAAGAGTTGGGTTGTACTGCTACCCAAAGTTAAGAAAATGCCCCCCATCCCTCTTTTTTTGAGACAGACCAAGACTCTGTCTCTCCCAGACTGAAGTGCAGTGTTGCCATCATGGGTCACACTGCAGCCTCAACCTCCCAGCCTCAAGAGATCCTCCCATCTCAGCCTCCTCAGTAGCTGAAAATGACCTTGGTGGCTCCTCTCTCCTTAAGAATTTGCATCAACTCATCAGTAGTTTTACAATTTGTACAGTACTTGTACATCTGCCTTCTTCACACCAACACTATCAGGCAGGGATCACTGGCCTCATTTAACAAGATGAAGATGAGGATACTCCTAGTTTTGCTGAGTCGTTTAAGACTGCTCAGCTGAAAAAGTAATAGTGCCAGCGCTTACACCCTCATCTCTAACACCAAAGCCTACGCTCTTCCTGTTAACAGTACATAAAATTCAAACCCAAATCACAAAATTGCTGGAAAAAGAAAAATCCTAAAACTTATTTAACCCACCAACTACACAGGATGATCTTCTGAAGTTCTCTTCCTTATAACTCATCACATCTTTTGAATGGTGGTGTAATAACTAGCATTCTATTTATTTTCTATTCTTGGTCCATTCTACTACCTTATGGGAAGTTAGAGTAATCAAAATTTAAGGTAGTTCTCTAAACTATCAACAAAATACTGCTAATGTACTCAAAATCAAAACTTGCAAAGTCCAGGGCTAAATGATTCAAACAAATGTTAACAGAAAAAGAAAGTGCACCAATCTGATCATTAGCCAATTTAAAAATTTACACATTCCTTGTTATACATGCTCAGGGCAACTTTAAGACGCCATTCCAGGCAGATTTTGGAGAGTAAGTGGCGAGCTTTTAGCTAACTCTGCTTAGCCGCGGGGTAAATGTCAAAGGTCAGCCCCATGGCAAATCTCCCTAAGCCCCTATCGTTACCGAAGCAGATGGAATCAGGATAAAGATGCTCCTGACCCACTGGCTAGAATCGTGAAGAAAACGCTAATCTATGTCAAATGCACATAAGGAAATTTTTCCATGCAGAGACCAGACAGGGGCAAAGGGGAAGGTGGAATGAGAAAACACAGGGTTCGACCCGAGCCATCGGACGACAACCGAGCGCTGACTTGAGGGAAAGCCCTGGACTAACAGCCTGTAGACCAGGTTCGAGCGCTCACGCTAACTGCGGAGGCTTAGCCAGCCTCAGACCCCGAGTCTAGAAAACAGGGATAATCATCAAGGGCTCCCACCCGCCCCACCCAGGGCTGTGAGGCTCTTCCGAGACAGAGGACATGGAGCCGTTTCGCAAACCGGAGAGCACGGTACAGACAAGAAACTGTTATCCGGATCAGCAGTTGTGAGACCCCCGAGCGAGACCCCAGGCCAAAGACGACAGCAAGGGACGGAGCAGATCCGGTCGAGTCGGCCCGTCCCCGCCCAGAATCAGCCCGCGGCCCCAGAGAACCGCCTGCGTGTCACTTCCCCCCCCAACCCCGCCAGGGCCGGCCTCCGCCCCGACCTCCCCGCCTTCCGCCCTAGCCTCTCGGGCCCCAACTCCCCCTCCCCAACGCGCCCCCAGACTCACGGCCTGAGGGGCTCCTTCGGCAAAACGGCGAGTGGCTCGGACCCTCCCTCAGAGCACACTAACCAGCAGCACTCCGGTCCGCCAGCTACTCGCCGGATGTACGTCACACCCCTCCCCGGGACTTCCGGGCGCGTACTTGGCCCCGCCCCCCCGCAGAGTCACGTTTTTCTGCCCGGGTGCCACCCCACCGGCGACTCGGGTCGCAGAATGGCCGGCGTAAGGCATGACGGATCGCGCTCTGGGTCGGGCACTGCCTTGGCCCCGCCTGCTGCCGTCCGACGGACTGACCGTGCGAGACGTGGCAGCGCCGGGCACCCTGGGCTGGGGCTGGGTCCTGGAGTCCCTGAACGTCCTGGGACCCTTGAAATCGCAGTTTCCCATCCCAGACGCGCCGGGAAAGTCAGAAGTGGGAACCAACGATAACATAGGTTCTGGGAAAGATGAGTTGACCTTGGGGCCTTGCACCTGAGGTGGATCCCTCCAAGCTTTTTTCTTTTACTTTCTGTTTGTTTGTTTGTTCGTTTGTTTGAGACGGAGTCTCATTTTGTCGCCCAGGCTGGAGTGCAGCGGCGCGATCTTGGCTCACTGCAACCTCCACTTCCCAGATTTAATCGATTCTCCTGCTTCAGACTCCCCAGTAGCTGGGATTACAGGCACCCGCCACCACGCTCGGCTAATTTTTTGTATTTTTAGTAGCGACGGGGTTTCACCACGCTGGCCAGATGGTCGAACCAGGCTCCTGACCTCCCACCTCGGCCTCCCAAAGTGCTGGGATTACAGGCGTGAGCCACCACGCCAAGCTGCTTTGTCTTAAGTCACTTCCCTTGCCCTGGGGTGGCCTATGTTTTAGAAAAACAGCTAATATTTATTGCGCACTTATGTTCCAGGCAGATTACTGGGTACTTGGCATGCTTCGTCTGATTTCACCCTCATTACAGTCCTGTGAAGCAGATGCAAATTTTATGTATCCTCCTTGACAAATGAGAGAGCAATGTTCAGAACAGCCTACCAGGCCCGAGTTCACACAGCTAAGTGGCAAAGCAATGTGTTCACCCCCAGTCTATTTCGCGTGCATTTTATCATTTAATTCTGAGGACACTCCTACAAGACTGGTATTATTATTACTCCCATCTTACAAATAAAACAGTCTAATAGAAAGGTGAATGATGTCTGTGGATTCATGAACATCTCAGTTCTCCTTAAGTAAAATTTAACATAATCCCAAGAAAAGTACTAATAGGATTGATAGATCTTGTGTGGTTTAGTTTTTTGGTTTTAATTACCCTATTGGTTCCTAAAATTCCTATAGAAAACTAAACAAGACTAGTCCAGAAACAGGCTCTCACAATGAAGAACAAGGAGGTGGGAACTAACCCTGTTAGATGTTAAAACATTATAGAACTTCAGTAATTAAAACTGGTGCGTGCACACACAGACACACACACACAAAACACAACGGAACAGAGCAAAGCACAGAAATAGACTAAAGTACATGCAGAAATTAAAGTAGCACCTGGCACTCCAGCAATACTCAGGGAGCTGAGTGGGCAAGCTCACTGGGGATCTTGGATGTTGAATTTGAATCCTGTCCAGTCACAGAAAGGGGTCAGGCCACTTCTGAGGTTTCTCACCAGGTTTAGCTAAACCAGGGAGGTTGTGTCCATGGGGCCTGGAACCCTTTGTGCATCCTGGAGAAACAGGTTTGCCCCAGTGCAAGCTAACACATGGGATTACTGGCTTTGCTGAGAGCCTGGCTGCACAAGGTGGGGGTGTCTGAACCACAGGATGGCTTGGGAGGCTGGGGAAGGTAGGAGCATGCAAGCAGATTCTCAGAAAAGCTGCAAACTCTGCTTACCAAAAGGCTTGAGCAAGTTAATAAATGCCCCAGACCACAGTGTACCCACTGTAAAATGGGTGAAACAGGCATTGTTGCACACGTAATTTTTCAGTACAGTTTTTAATAAATGGTTCTATTATGTGTTGTTAAATAAATTAATACATAATAAAAGGGGCTGAGACAATTGGGTAGTCAAAAAAACCTACAGGTTGAATCCAAAAAGTTTACTACTCCAAGCAAGTTCCAAGTGATGAAATATGTGTATATTTTGAAATGACACCATAAAGGTACTAGAAAAACAGAAGAAAGCATGAATTCCTTATAATCTTGCAATGAGAAGACGTGGGTATGATTGAAAATCTAGATGCCATAAAAGAAAAGATTGACAAATTTAACTACATAAAAATTAAAAACTTACATAGCATAACAACAATCATGACACCATAAGCAAACTCAAAAGACAAATGACAAGTTGAGAAAAATATTTAATCACATCACAGGTAAGTAAGTAATAAGTATGAAGAAGACAAACAACACAATAGGAAAATAGGCAAAGGTTCAGAACAGATAATTCATAGGAAAGGAAATAAAAATGACATTTTTTTTTTTTTGAGACGGAGTCTCACTCTGTCACCCAGGCTGGAGTGCAGTGGCAATCTCAGCTCCCTGCAACCTCGGCCTCCTGGGTTCAAACAATTCTCCCGCCTCAGCCCCCCACATAGCTGGGATTACAGGCGTGAGTCAACATGCCCAGTTAATCTTTGTATTTTTAGTAGAGATGGGGCCTCACTGTGTTGGCCAGGCTGGTCTCAAACTCCTGACTTCAGGTGATCTGCCCGCCTTGGCCTCCCAAAGTGCTGGTATTACAGGCATAAGCCCAAAAATAACTCAAGCATAATAAAATAGTAATAGAAATATAGATACTATAGAATATATAGGTATAGATATTATAGGATAATATAGAAAATATATAAATCCATTTATATGTCTGTGTATCTCTATGTATTTATATCTATACTGAAATAGAAATAAATAAAAAAAAGATAAATTTAAAACTTTCAGATACCATTTTCACCCATCAGATTGGCAAAAGTTCACCAGTTTATTGGTGGCAAGGCTGTTTCAGATAGAGAAGTCAGGCTGGGCATGGTGGCTCACACCTGTAAATTCCAGCAGTTTGGGAACCTGAGGCAGAAGGCTCGCTTGAGCCCAGGAGGTTGAGGCTGCCGTCAGCCATGATTGCACCGCTGCACTCCAGCCTAGGCAACAGAGCAAGACCCTGCCTCTAAATTAATTAATTAATTAGCTAAATCAAATACAGAAGCCAAGAAGGCCCCATCCAGGAACTATTTGGATAAGAATCTGAAGGACATCACATGGCCATCAGAGTAGAATGTTCCAGGCTGACAGCAGAGGCCCTAAGGCAGGAGTGTGCCTGGCAGTTTCCAGGAACAGCTGGGAGGCCAGCATGACCAGGCAAGGTGAGCAACAGAAGGAGTGGTAGGAGATGGGGTGAGGTGTTTGTGGTCAGAACTGTGGAGGTTCCAGGGCTTTACCTAACTTGCAGGGCAGGTTAACAGGTTAGCCTGACACAGTCTCGGATGCTGGCAGAGTCACAGGACTCCTGGATCAGAGACAAACTATTTTATCATTTCAGGCATAGTGAGCAGCATGAACTTCCACTTGCCCCATCCTCCATCCTCCTTTCTGAGGACAGTGGGGTGACACAGAGCAGTCTGGATGGGTACTGCCCATTCGAGGGTGTGCATCACAGCTGAGGAACTCAGAACTTAGGGACTCAGATCTTCCATAATGGCTGACCTGCCTGAACTCTGACCCAGTGGGAGATGGTATGATACTGGGCAGTATGCCAACTTGTCCCCTGCCCCAGAAGGACACTGTCTTACATGGCTGTTCATCATATAAATGTCCTTGAAAAGACAGTCCAAACAAAGGCAGCCACATCTCTGCTTTAAGGAAGTACACAAATAAAGGAGCTTCATGGAGAATTGTCTCGCTACAGGGGGCAAATCTTGAGAGCCTTGTAGGTGAAGACTTTAGCTTTTATTTTCAGTGACCTGGGGAACCGATGGAGGATTTGAGGAGAGGCACCTTACCTAATTCTTCCCGCCACTTCGTTCTTGCTCCCTTACACATTCTCAGCATTAGGTAGACAGGGTTATTCCCAGGCTGGCCAGCATCTGCTTTCCCCCTTTTCTCTTTGAGTACCTCTTTCTCCCTTCTTTGCAGAGGCTTTTTAGGCTTGGGCTCCGGCGTGGAGGAGCAGTTTTAGTGATAACTTTGCAGCTCTTCTCCGTGGTTTGTCCTTCACGTTGGCTTTAACTCTCTCAGCATCCCCTTCAGCCTTTCTCTTGGGCTTGATGCAGTGGAGGTGAGGAGTAAGCCCTGCCTGCAAGGATGCAGCCAGTGCCAGCTTTGGTTTGTCCAGGGGTTGCTATCACCACTTCTTCATATTACTTTTATTTTTTCCTTTTTTTATCCTGCTTGATAAAAAAAAATCTTTCTTATTTTTCAGAGGCAAGGTCTTACAATGTTACCCGGGCTGGACTCAAACTTCTGGGGCTCAAATGATCCTCTCGCCTGGGCCTCCCAAAATGTTGGGATTACAGGTGTGAACCAGCCCAGCTGGTTCTGATTTTTTTTCCCTCACTCTGTCCCCAGGCTGGAGTTTAGTGGGACGATCATAGCTCACTGCAGCCTTGAACTCTTGGGCTCAAGGGATCCTTCTGCTTCAGCCTTTGAAGTAGCTGGGACTACAGATGTGTGCCAACAGGCCTGGCTAATTTTTTTAAATGTTTTGTGCAGATAAGTTCTCTCTATGTTGCCCAGACTGGTCTCAAGCTCCTGGCCTCAAGTGATCCTCCTACCTTGGTCTCCCAAAGTGCTGGAATTAGTCATGACACTGCTTCCAGTCTTCTGCTCTGCTTTTTAGTGTGTGTTAAATGCATTAGTTTGGTAAGCATAAACCTTTAAAAATATTTAAATGTAAACATTTAAAGTATTCTATGACTTTCATGACCCTCTTTTGGCATATCTTCAATTTGACAAGTACTTGGCATCTTGAGAAATTCTATCCCTTCCTAATGATGGAAAATCTCAACCTGCGAGAGCCAGGATGCCGGCCGTGTGCTGGGTCCCGGGACTGCCTCCACAGCTCTCACGTCAGGCCCAAAGACCAGCAAAGTGGTCCCCAGAAACTGTATTGCTTTTTCACACTCCCCAGAAACAGCACTGTTTTCTAGAATTCTCACCTACCTCCACTAAAGTGGGGC